CGCCAGGGTCCAATTCCAGCCGCGCAAGGGTCGTCCGAGGAGGAACCGCAGGGCGCCCAGGTGTGGCCCGACAAAGAGGACCCATGGGCTGGTGAGACTAATTTCCAGCATGCCTTTTCCATGCCTACTGTCGCTTCTGTTGCAGCCTCTGTTCCTGTCGCTGCAGCTCATGTGCCCGAGCGAGGCCCCTGCAGTGCAGCCGCTCCGTCAGATGGCCAACTGCCTCTGGTCAGCCCGACCTCCCCCCGTCTCAGCGCTTCTCTCTGTCGGAGAAGGGGGCCAGCAAAACAGCGCCACCCTCTCATCTTCTAGCCGTGTCTTTCCCGTTGTTCCCAGTGAGAATGACCGAAACAGCGATGCGCAACGCTCGTCGCGCCAGCCAGTCCCTGCACGCCAGTCGCCGCAGTGCCGCTTGTCCGCGTCGAGCTCAGTCAGCCCGAGAGGACCCGGAGGAAGCGGTTCCGCGATGTCTTTCGATGCACCGAGCCCAGCGCAAGTGAATTCGGCACCGCGCGTGAAACCCCTGCTACCTGCGAGCCCACGCGGAAGAGAGCCCGAGTGCCAGCCAGCTAAGCTTTAACATGCCTAGCGAGCTATGGCATGAGCGTCGGTCACAAATTTGGATGTTGAGTCCCAGCCTCTGCGCTCCCTCTGGCGCGGCTGCCTCCTCCACAGCATTTCGGATCAGGCCAGTTTGTTCCAGGCGGATCGGGCAACTGCGCGGCCCCTGGATTCCAGCGGTGGAAGCGGCAGTCTACGCGCACAGCCGGCGCGACTTTCTTGGGAGCTCTCGTGCGTTCAGCCTAGAGTTTCACGTTGTCACAGCGAGAGAGAGCCACTCGAAGCGAGCCAGCGCGTCGAAATTAGAGCAGCTCGCGGCGGACTCGGCTGCGCACTACCTCCCAGCGCATCTAAAGACACTGGGCGCGAGGCAACGGACAGGAGCAACTCGCCCAGCTTCGCGCAGCGGTGGAGCGCCTGCGCCTGGAAGCCCCCGCAGGAGCAGCTGCGCTGATTCGCCCGCAGGACAGCTACCAGTGGGACCAGTGGCTCCAGCTGCTCAAGGACGCCCAGGCCGCCGCCGTCGGAACCATCGTTAGCTTCGCTGGGGCAGCGGGGGTGGTCAGCCGCAGGGCGCGGCGACGCGCGCTGGCGAGATCGCTGCGCGACTTCCGCGAGTGGGCGGCGGCAGGCCCAGCGCTGGGAACGTTGCGCCGCGCACTTCGGTCTCAGCCCACCCCGACGGAGCCCATCCTCGTCGGCGCCGAGAACATCGTCCACCCGAAGGACCTCCTGGACCATAAGGTCACGAGCTGGCATCAGCTGCGGCGCCCGACTGGACAGGACACTGGCGGCCGGTTCCATCTCAAGCTCCAAGAGAGGGGCAGGCCCCCACCTTTGTCCGCCGGGCTTCAGCGGGCCTCCATAAGGCAGGGAGCTGACAGGCTCAGCCCCGCTGACCTACTGCGGCTGCCTGATGACGCACTGGAGGAGCTGGCAATAATATTCAACATCATGGAGCAGCTGCAGGCGTGGCCGCATCAGCTGCTCATGAACATTGGCGACGTGCGCGCCAAAGAGGACATGAGCGACCGCATCATCGGCCTCCTCCCAGAAATCGCGCGCCTGTGGTCCATGTGCCGCAAAGATGCAGCTCGCTACTGAAGCCGGGAATGTTGCGCTCGCTGGGGCGCTGCCATCAGGGGCCATCCACCCCTGAAGGAAGCCTGCGACAAGGCCTTTCAGGAAGAGCTTACCGAGTACGTTCACGTGCCGCAGGGACATGGCCCCCTTGGCATATCCCAGTTCCACGACAGCATATCCCGCGCTGCCTTGGGCGAGCAGGCCTTAGACCTGGACTTCCCCACGGAGGCCCTTGGGCTGGAACTTCGACAACGCATCTCACCGCGGACCTCGACGCAGAGCGGCAGTTGCACCATGCCGTTCCAGCCAGCGCGGGCCGTGGCGCAGGGTCTCCGCTCAGGACTTCGTTTCGCTAAATGCATGACCTTCCGATCGCTGCTGATAATCTCTCGCTCTTGCAGCGCCTCGCGGACACCTGCGAGGCGTTCAAGGCGCACGGCCTCAACATCGCCAGCAAGAGCAGAGTGCTGTGCTCCAGCAAGGATGACGATCGGTACGCGGTGCGAAGTCTGGCGCGACGCGGCTTCAAGGTGCAGACCCGCGCGCAGGCCAGCTACGTGGGAGCCGACCTTGGTGCAGGGGTACGACGCGCCAGGCGCGCCAGGTGCCAGCGCCTGACCCGCCGCGGCCTCATGCATCGCAAGATCATCCGACGGGCGCGGGCCACCAAGCGACACCGCCTCACTGGCAGGCCGGCCGAAAAGGGCGGGCAGGCTGCAGGAGGGCACGGTCACCAGATCCACGGCGTCTTCGGCACCCAGATGAAGCTGTTTCGACGCCGCCTGGGGACGCGCTGGGACCGCGCATGCCAGGGCGTTGCCTCACCACCTTGCTGGACTTGAAAGCTGCGGGCCGAGATCCAGCCAGGCGCTTTCCCAAGGAGGCCATCCACCAATGGCTGACGACATGGATCCAAGAAGGGCCCATGCAGAAGACGATTCAATTTACTTGGCGTCAGGTTGTCCAACACTTCCGTCAACATCCTGCTGGCCAGCGCGTCCGTCGCGCGCGAGGACCACATTCGGCCATCGCGCTGTACCTCCTGGAAAACGGGTGGAACCCACGAGAGCCCAATGCGTGGGACCCCCCCGCCCAGCCGGGCAACGACGTACAGGACACCTGGGAATTCGACCTGGCTGGGCTCACGGGTGACCAAGCCGTCGACATCCCGTCAGCCCTCTTGCAGGACCTCGACACCAGCATCCGGGCGCGATACTGGAAGCAGGCCAGCGAGCACTATGGCGGGTCAGGGGTGGCGGAAGGGATCCACAACAGAACTTATCGATACCTACTGGGGCACTTCGAGAAGATGCCGAACGGGAGGCGGCCCTCGGCGTGATGTTGGCCATCGCAGCCGGCGCAACTTGGCCGAAAGGCACGGCCCAGGACCAGATCAGCACAGCAAATTGACTCTGCCCACGGTGTGAACAAAAGAAAGAGACAGCATTCGACCGTGCCTGGGAATGCTAGGAAAGGAAGCCCAGCCCGATCTACGACGCCAGCAACAGCATGATCGGGGAGGCCACCACGCAGCAAGGCATGTACGAGTGCTTCTGGACCAGGGGCCTCGCACCCCAGTCCTGGACGTGGGCGCCGCCGCCACCTCAGGGTTGTCAAGGGTGTCGATTAGGACGCGGGTAAAGTATTACCACGTTCGTGTCCTAGCGGTTGGGAGCAGGTGGGAGGCACCCGCACCGGCGGGCGAAAACCAGACGGAAGCCACACCCGCCGACAGGCGAAACCAGGGGAGGAAGGATGGAGGAGGAGGAAAAGGAGGAGAAGGAACGACCGTCCGCCGACGGGAACGATCCATCAGTTCAAGGGCGACTGCGCGGCCCCGCTCCGCCCGGGAGGCAGGCAGGCAGCCTCGGGGAACAGCGGGCGGCGGCGCCAGCAGCGGCGTTCTTGCTGAAGTAGTTGTCTTGGTGGTCCGCCACCCTGACCTCGGAGCCGGAGGTCAGAAAGGGGAACCCGAGAGTTCTGCTCGTGGACGCGCAGAAAACTCAAGGACTTGAAGGCGACTGCCATGCGCGCGATGGCGTGGTCAATATCGGTCACGCCATCTGATTTGTCGCCATAGAGCCCCATGCACTGGAGGACGCTGGCGGAGATGATGCCGCGGGGTTGGTATTGATAAGACCACAGCCGCTGGCAGGTGAGGTAGTGCGCAATGACGTCGATGTTGTGCCTGCCCTCGACCTCGGGTCCGCCGAATATGCAGTTGGGCTTGTGCGGGTGGGCGTGCATGCGGCAGCTTGTCAAGCGCCAGACAGCGTCTTGAGGACTGGCCCGAGCCTTGGCGGAGGCACTCGAGAGAGATGCTGGCGCAACGCCGCCCACTCTTGGGGGCAGCAACGATGGCCAATGCTGGATGCCAATCGTGTCCGCGGGCGGCTTCTCATCGCCACCACGCGCGGTGTCGTCAAGTAGTCAGTGACCTTCATCACGAATGTTTTCCGCAGGAAGCCAGCGACGGCAGGCGCGGTGTTCAGCAGCTTCTTTGTCGCGTTCCCGTCTGGTGGCAGCACACGGATGCACGGCCACGTAGATCATGATTCGACGGTTGCGAGCACGTGCAGCAGAGTACCAGTTCCTCTCGCCGATGTCAACGGCTGTCTGGCGGCCTCCGTCTCAGTTTTGACAGGGGCGAACATGTCTGCGAACTGCAGGCGGCGAAAGACGCCATACAAAAACGGGACGCACCACTCCATCCAGTCGGTGTAGTCGTCGACGTTGGGGTTCAAGGAAACACTCGGGTTCCATCGAGTAGCCCACGTTTCGGCAAGTTCGCTCATGTAGGCGATGGATTGTTCGGGATCAGGATCAGGCTGAGAGATCTGGTCTCTTCGAAATTCATGAAATGGACGGGCACGTTGCTGAAGCCCGAGAAGCGGGAACCAGGACTTGAGGCGCGTGGTAATGGACTTGTCGAAGGCGTCAGAGTAGAGACTGTCTTGAAGCTAGTGTCAATTAGCTTTCTATGGAGGAAGAGGAGGAGGAAGAAGAAGAAGAAAAAGAAGAAGAAGAAAAGGAGGAACCATACCTCCGAGCACATCGGACAAACACAAAGCAGGAATTGTCGACGTCTTCGGCCCCCTGGGGCCCTCGCCGGGCCCCAAACGGGCCGTCACAAAACGACCCGAGATGAACAGCTGGCCCTGGGGCAAGGGTCGGGACTTCTGGAAAGGGCGTCGCGAGGAACCCTGAGATCCGACGTCGCAAGCAAGCAGCGACACATCGCAGAACACGCTCGACCAAAACCCCATCATCCTTTCGCGTCCTTCGAGCCGGGTCGATCCACGAGGGGCCAGGGACAACGCAAGACCGCCTGTTGCGAGAGAGGCGACGCCTGGATCGCAGGGAGGACCAAGATCAGGGGGGGGGGACAACTTCGATGCCGCTCCCCTGCAGGCCCGCACGGGCGCAGAGGTCAGCTGTGCACCTCCGCGCGCCCCTCGAGCGCGTCACGCGAGTCGGCGCGCGTAGAGCTCAGCGTGGTCTCCTGGACGTGGTGGTCTGCGGACTGCGATTGCGAGCTGCACGAGCTCTTTGACTTTCTGCCGCCGGCCAGATTTACGCTGGACGATGTGGGAAGCCTCTGGCTCCGACGAACGCCCAGGCCGCAGCTCCTAGTTCCGACGTCTTGGCCGCCGTTTGACACCAGGAGGCTCCGCATGTCCTCTCGGATCCGGAGGAGCAAACCCTTCATCAGAAGGTTCACGTTGTGGTTGTCCGTGGCGCGGAGCCTGTACAGCTGCTCCACGAAGTTGTCGCATGTGACACTGCCTGTGTCCTGGTCGTCGAGGAGCATCCAGACCATGTCCAGGTCGTGCACCGAAATGCCCATGCATATCAGAGTGTCGTTGAACTCTTTGCTCTCGAAGATGGCCTCGTTGAGTTCGTCCCAGCTTAGAAGTCCACTCCCGTCCGTGTCGATCGTCTTGAAGAGTCGAGTCAGCTGCTTCCGCTGCTTCTTGAACTCTTTATCCTTCATTGCCGCAAGGTCGTGCTCATTCTCGCTTCTTGCCTGGGCAGCAGAGTCGACGATCACGGCCAGGATCAGGTTCAGCAGCGCCAGGGTCACAGAGGAGGCGACGGCGAGGAAGAAGAAGAACGTCCACGGGTGCGCCTCGGAGATCGGCACGCACACCTCCCCCCAGCCGTCCCCAGCGATCAGGTGCTTCACGAACGTGAGCATTGTGGCCGAGACGGACTCGAAGGCGCGGGGGCAGCGCTCGCAGACGCCCTCGTACACGCCCTCGTGGGCAAGCTCCCGGTTCAGGGGGTGGACGCGCCGGAGAGGCTCGGGCGCGGCACACGGACTGCCCCCCAAAGGCAGCCCCGGCTGGCCTCAGCAGGGCCCCAGGGCACAACCGGGACACGCGGTGAGGAAGCGAGCTGTGAGTCGAGTAGTTGATCGACTCTTGAGCTCATTTACCCCGAACCTGTGTTTTCCTCTGACCCATCTGTTGTTTAAAAGAGAAACATGTCTGTCTGGTATATTCGGCGAGGAAGTCACTCTGGGATAAGCCAATTCTGCAGTCGATCCCCCACCCGAAAGAGGAGTCTAGAGGGGCATTGCTGGGTCGGCCCTGGGCCGCGCTGGATGCCCCAACAGACTCAGACGGGTGCCCAGGGAACGAGGAATTTCTGCTCGGGGTCGGCCAAGAGGGGGGCGTCCGAGGGGGGGGGGTGCCGCAAATCATTAACATGGGCATGTGCGCGGCCCAGGGGGGGGGCCAGGGACGTGTTGGAACAAGACGAGGCGCCATGAAATCAGAGGAAACCTCATGGCCCACGCCATGAGATCCACCCCTCTAGTCATCACCCACCTCTTTGCCGCCCACGATTGGTGCGCCTGCTGTGCGGTGTCGCATCTGGGCGCCGGTGTCATGACGATCTGGGCGCCGGGTGTCTGACACAGCATGGACCGCTCGGCCCTCTCTGAGAGCCGACGCCGCGAAGAGCACAGCATCGTGACCGAACTCGACCGGAGCCCCGGATCCCAGCTCTCTGCGGTCTCCTCCTGGACAGGTCGCTCCGCCAGGGCCCCGTCGGCTCGATCCGTGAGGGCCCCCGGGTTGGAAGCGCCCGCTGTGGGAAGGACGCGACTAGGGGGCAAGCAAACCGACCTCGCTTTTGACCGCCCTCGCTTCCAAGAGATGCCGAGCGATGCCAAACTGCGGCCTGTCCTGATCGGGGCCGCTTGACGAGGAGGCGCGTGGTATGGCCTGGTTTAGCCGGGAAGCGAAAGCGGGGCAGGCACTTCACGCTCTGAGGGCGACGCCAGGCACTCCGCTCTGAAATGGGCTATACGCAATGAGTGACCCTGGGTAAGAGTGACCGTTGGTGCGCGACTTTTTTGGGGGGCCGCGGGGGGCCCAACCTGGGCGCGCAAGCAGCTGCTGCTGCTTCGTTTTCAGCCATCTGGTGACCCATCCGTGCCCGCACCAAAGGTCACTCCGGCGAGAGGTCACTCTTACGACTAGGCGATGAAACATCGCGGCGTTCCCGCCGGCGCGGGGACGGGCCGGCCTGCCGGGGACGCCCACGCCCGGGGCCGCGGCGCCGCCGCCGCAGGAGCCTGCCGCGGCCGAGGGCGGCCTCGGCAGCGGGCGGGGCGCGAAGTCGCGATGGGGAGCGATACATTTCGGAGACGGACAGAACCCCATTTAGTAAAACGTGGTTTAGTGAACACGACCTCGGACCCAAACCTGGCGGGCGCAAGCCTGGAAAATGACGGCCGCGGCGCCCTCTCGAGAACCGAAGACGGTCAATTCACTAATCGACGTGTCAGGGTGGGAGGTCTGTCCACCCCCGATACATGGGGGGGCTAGAACAGTTCCCTTTTCGGACGCTCAGGGAACCCCTTGGGCCCCAAAGGGCCCCCTCAGGGGCCCTCGAGGGCACCTCTGCGGCAGCCCACGACGCCTCCTTGCTTCTCGCCCCGACCCTTCTGCCAGGAATGCGAGCCAAGACACACAATTTCACAGGGCTCGACCTAAACGATGTTTGTCGTTTTCGTTGTGTTTTCGTTTTCCTTCGCTCTGTCTTCGTTTCGCCTTTGACGCAAAGCGAAATCAAAACGAAAACTGCCGACGAACTTCCCAAAACACCGTTTAGGTCGAGCCCTGCAATTTCATGTTGGGTACGTCGGGGGGGCCTCAAGACCCGGGGCAGCCGGCGCCCTCTCCGGGCTCAGCAACCCCCGTCGTGCTGGAGCGCTGCGGGGCCGCCTGGGAGCGGTCTCTCTCGGGGCCTGTCCATGCGATCCTGGCGCTGCATTGTCCGCTGTCGCCTCCGGCGATGTTTGGCCTCGCTTCGGGCCCCGAGGGCCTCGCGGGTCGGCCGGGCCCGAACGACGCAGCGGGACGATGGGGCCCATAGAGGAGAGAGAACGATGCACATACGCCGGCTCTGGCCAGGCCCCCTGAGCTCAGGATCGATGCGCCCTGCCAGGCTCGGTGCATGCGCATAGTTCTCTTCGCCCGAGCCCAGGGCTCCAACAAAGGAGGAGGAGCAGGAGGAGAGGGAGGAGGAGGAGGAGGAGGAGGAGGAGGAGGAGGAGGAGGAGAGGAGGAGGAGGAGGAGGAGGAGGGGGGAGGGGAGGAGGAGGAGGAGGAGGAGGAGGAGGAGGAGGAGGAGGAGGAGGAGGAGTTCTGCTCCGAGGGGAGCAGCAAAAAAAGCGTACACCAAAATTGTCGGAGCTCCGCACGGACACTTCTTGGATCCACGCTGGGCCCCCTCCCCAGGCGCCAGCGGCGGCGCCGGAGGCGTCGCCAGGCGGCCCCAGCGGCGATCCAGGAGATCCGCGCGGAGCTCCGAAGATTTCTCTGTGTGCAGTTGTTACTTCCTCGAGCTCTGCGATGTTGCACTTCTGCTCGTGACGTCGGCTCTCAGGGGTCGGGGTTGCCTCCGCCGGGGCTGCCCGTGCGCGGCCCAACCCGGGCCCTCTCCAGGGTGAGCTGCACGGCAAGGATGGACCACACCAGCAGCATCAGCAACAGGACCGCGAGCCCCCACATGAGGACCTTGAAGGCGCCGGTCATGCCCTTGATCATCAGGTGCAGCTCGGGAAACATCTCGAGCACGTGCATCGCCTGCCCGAGACGCAGCAGGCGGAAGACAAGGAGGAAGGAGAAGCCCAGCGTGGCACCTCCCCGCGTGAGGTACTGGTAGGCGAGGACGCCGACGTCGGACAGGACGATCGCCACGTCTGCCCAGTTGCCCAGGTAGGCCGCATAGGAGGCGCGGAATATGAAGACACGCAGCGCGATATCGCAGATGTACAGGACCAGGATGACGTCGCTGGTGACGCTGACCCAGCTCTCGGGGCTGCTGCCTTTTGCAACGGCGTCCGTCTCCAGCACCACCATGACAATGGTCACGACGATGCTCCCCATTAGCACGACGTCGTACGCGCGAGACCTCCAGACGCTGAGCGCCAGAACGCGCGAACGGGCCCAGCCCTCGGCATTGAGGTCCTCGCCGTGGTACGTGACGGTGAGCGGCCTTTTCCTCCTGGCCCCGTCTCCGAACGACCTGCCGCTGGGGCTGGATGCCTCGGATCCGACAGTCCTCTCGGACTCGTACTGGCCAAGACCCATGGCTCCCTGCAGGTCGACCATCACGCCAGAGTGCCTGGGGCGGCGCGACGAGCCCGGCCGCGGGCTCCGTGGTCACGGTGGGCTACGGGTGAGCAGCGCAGGACCACTTTGCAGGGTCTCCGCGGCGGCAGCAGCGCGGAACGAAGGGCGTGGCCGCTGGTGGAAGCCCGAAATCGAGGCCAAAACGCCTACGGAGACAGAAAAAGTGCTAGCTTGACCTGCTTCGTTCGCCCAGAAGCCCAGTGGAGACACGCACCCAAGGCGAAGCGCAACCACCCCGCAATCCGGCGATCACCAGGAGGGATCAGCCATGAGGAGGGAGGGGCGCGGGAGCCAGGGAGGGAGGGATCATGATGGAGGGGGAGATGCAGGAGGATACAGTCGAGACGCTGCCATAAAGAACCCTGAAGAAGGGACGAGGCATCTGTTTTCGATAAGTTAAACTTCGATCCCCATAACAAGCCGAAGGAAAACCCAAGGTCAAACTGTAAAACAATTAAAGAACACCGAACACCTCCTCAACGAAAAAAGGTTCCTTCTTCAGCCGCCGGACTGTAGAGGCCCAACGAAGCCCTGACATCTAACGTCCCGAAACGACTGCAGACTTGCCGACAAACTCAGCTGGGGCCCAGAAGCCCATCTTCTGCTGCGTTCTCCGTGCCGGATCGAAGCCTGAGAGCCGAGGGCCCGAGACAATGCAACATCGACTGTCACGAACAGATGCGGCGCGAGGATCTTAGGGGGAGGCAAACGGCCGATGCCGAGTGGAGGTCCAAAGCTGCGCAGCAGCTCCGCCTGCGCCGCACAAGCGAAGGCGAGATCTGCAGCGCCCGCCGGAGGACACCAGTCCACAGGCAGTTTCGGAGCGATCCCTCGTCCAGCCACGAGGCCTCCATCTCCTGCTCCTCCTACTCCTCCTGCTCCTGCTCCTCCTCCACCTCTTCCTCCTCCTCCTCGTCATCATCATCACCGTCATAATAAACTCATCACTGCACCACGACATCGTCATCATCATCACCGCCACCACCATCACCATAACCACCACCACCACTACCATCATCATCGTCATCACCATCACCATCATCGTCATCACCATCATCATCAGCACCGTCATCAACATCAACATCACGATCAGCACCACTGTCACCATAAACCTCACTATCGCCATCGCCACCACCACCATCACCACAATACTCAACACCATCATGACAATCGGCATCATCACCACCGGCACCACCACCATCATCATCATCATCAGCATCATCATCGCCATCATCAGCATCGATATCATCATCAAGCTCAACATCAACATCAACGTCATCATCACCACCACCATCATCAACACAGTCGCCAACATGATCAGCATCATCGTACACATCACCATCTTCATCGTAATCGCCATCGTCACGGATACCGTCATCATCATCACCGTGATCGTCATCGTCATCGTCATCATCATCATCATCATCATCATCATCATCATCATCATCATCATCACCACGAGGTTCCCTTCGGGGGCCCTGCTTGGCTGCTCGACACACTTATCCTTTTCAAGGGCAACGCAAACAATATGTACGCCCCCCGTCCAGTTGATCTGAGAACTTGTCACTAGCACCCTGGGTGATCTGGTAGAACAATAACTGCCGCTCTCAACTTGCGAAGTCCTCTCCAATTCTTATCGTCACGATTATTAGCGCCGTTGCCCCCGTTGAGTTTGTCCATCAAAATTCCTCCACATTCGCAGTAATTGTGCCTACCGCCACCCACTTGCTTGAGAGTGGCACCACACGAAGAGCACCACTTGTAATGCCCAGGATTTCGACGGCAGCCGCAGGAACACCACATCGTGTTCCCACGTGGCCAATAACCATCATTGCCCGACATAGGCAATCACTGGGTAAGAGCGAGGAGTCACAGGGAAGGCGGGAGGTTCGGTACACAGACTGCGGCATGTGTACGTGGAGGCTGTCGGGGCTGTGAAATCCCCACGCCAACATGTCAAAACCTTGTGCCAAATGGTGAAGGAATTGAATCACAATGTCTACGGACCCAAGAGGCCTCCTTCGCCGCTTCCGCCTCCTGTCTGTCCTCCTCCCCCTCTTCCTTCTCCTCCTCCTCCTCCTCGTGCTTGTTCTCCTCCTCCTCCTCCTCCAACTCCTCCCCTTTCCTTCCCAAAAGTGTTCCCCCGAAACAGTTTCCACAACGGCAGGGGGGACGCAACTTGACGAAACTTTGGCTTGACGAAACTTTGGCCCGGCGCCCGTCCACATCACTCTCAGGCGTCTCCAGAGAGGCGGGGGCCGGCGGCGACTCGCCGTCAGCGCCCTCGACAACGGCCGCGCGCGGGCGGCCGTGGCTTCTCGGCGACCTCGCCCACGAACTGCGCGGAACGCCGCGAGGGCACTCCACGGCGGGGCCGAAGCGGCCAGCAACAAAAACGGCTGCACATGGAGCCCGACAGGGCCGCGCGCCGCGGCGGCCGGCTCACTGCCAGGGCGAGCACCCCAGCGGCTTGTGGATCGTCGTGGTGAAGGACGCCGCGAGGCCTGCGGCCGGGCAGGGGCGGCCGGGGCCGAAGGCGCGACGAGGGGGGGGCAGGCGAGGGGCATCACGGCTGGATTCTGTCGTGTCGACGTATTTTGGGGTGCTCTGTTGTGTGCTGTTCTTAGCTGCCCCAACACGCAACACGCAACACGTAGCGTGCTGACACGGGGCTCAACACGTAGACTGAAAACGTAGGTATGACGCAGTACGTTCGCCAAAACGTGGGTCAATACACTGAGCCAACACGCAGCGTATTGACACGGACGTCTTCAGCACTGCACGTGTTGCGTATCACAGCGGGCTTATCGAGGCAGCGAAGGTGTTGTTGCTGCTTTTGTTGTCGAGCTCTCATTTCTGAACCATTTTTGTTGATCCCCCCGGTCTCCAATAACATACACGCGTCTCCAATTCACATGCCCCTCCCGGGGCTCGCCCCCTGTATTTTGCCAGGGGGTTTGGGGTCTTGAAGCTGTGATGTTAGCCCCGACTTACGTACATCAACAACGGGTCCCGCCAAATCCTTCCTCACAATTTGTGAAGAATGGAGGTCTGGCTCGGGACTTCCTAGCAATCTCCCGGGTTCGCTCTCGCGCGGGACGTCCTCGAGATTTATCTAGGCGTCGCGCCCTCCGCACTCAGGAATCACGCTCCATCCATCTTCCTGCTTCTTTCCCTTCCCTCCCCTCGTCTTGCTCCTTCCCCCCGCTCCTTCTTTTGACCATCAAACTCCTCCTCCTCCTCCGCCTCCTCCTCTTGCTCGTCCTCCTCCTCCTTCTCCTTCTCATCCACCTCCACCTCTCCCACCCTCCTGGTCCTCCTCCTCCTGCTCCTCCTGCTCCTCCTGCTCCTCCTGCTCCTCGTCCTCCTCCTCCTCCTCCTCCTCCTTCTGCTTTCTGCGCAAGCCACGTTACAGCTGTAGCGTTGGAGCGCGAGCGGGAGGACGACCCGCATCCCAAAACCGCGCGCGGAACGCAACCCCCACCGACTTGCCCGACGGCGTGGTCACTGCCCCGCAGTGGGCTCCTCGAGAAGGAGGAGGAGGAGGAGGAGGAGGAGGAGGAGGGCACCACAGCCCTCCCGCCTGTCTTTTGTCTTTTCTCCGCCCTGCACTCCAGCCCGCGGCGGCCTGCAATCTCCGCCACCGCCCGGCGCCACTCCGCCGCGCCGCGTGCGGCCTGCCTGCGCTGTGGGGGGGGGGCTTCTCCTCCTGGTCTCCTCCTCCTCTTCCTCCTGAGCTCCTGGCCTCCTCCTCCTCCTTCTCCTTCTGCGCTCGAGGCTCCTCCTCCTCCTCCTCCTCCTCCTCCTCCTCCTCCTCCTCCTCCTCCTCCGGGCAGTGCCTGGTCGTACCACGGTGCCCTTGGTGCTTCCTCCCTCCCCGGCCCTCACTCAGGGGGAGAGCATGGCACACAGCTCTTCGGCTGATGTTCATCCTTGGATGGGAACGACAGCACGGTGGAGACGACGGACGGCCAGCGACGACCTTCCCCTCCTGCTCTTTCGCTTCGAGGTTCGAGCTTCGAGGATCGGGGTGTTCTCTGGGCCTCCTCGCTTCGAGGATCGAGGTGTTCTCTGGGCCGCCTCGACACCGTTGCTGGGCTCGCCCACAGGACCGCCCATGGGAGCCCTGGCCAGAGCGCACACCTGCGACGGGTCCGGGAGTGCATGTGGCGGGGTCTGGACGCCCTGGGCCCGAAAAGGTTGCCATCTCTTGGGGCCGCATCTTTTACTTCCGCTGGCCTCCGTCGGCCTTCCGCCAGCGACGGCGGCCTCGCTTTACCTCAGCCGCCTCCCGCCAGCCTTCCGCCGAGACCAGTGCTGGAGCGCTCCGTTGTGAGGCCCAGGCCCGAGGGCTTTTCGCAGCTCGAGGTGGATCCCGTGCTGTCCGTTTGATGCTGTACTACTTTGTCGGGGCGTTTCCGACCTTCTTGGAGCCGTGTTGGGCAGACTTCGGGCCCTGGGGCGTCTCCGACCATCTCGGGGCTCTCTTAGGCCAGTCTCGGGGCCCTCTTGGTGGCCTCTGGGGCTTCCTGGAAATTTCTTGGAGGCTTCTTGGGGCCTCTTGGGACCTCCTGGGGATTCTCTGGGCGGAGAGCCCGAAATGTTGGTCCCTGCCCCCCCTTCTGGGGCCGTTCCTGAAGCGTTCCTGGGGCCGTCTTTAGACAGTCTTGGGGGCGTCTTCGACCGTCTTGGGGGCGTCCTCGACCGTCTGGGCGCCCGCCTGGGAGACCAAATGCGGTCTCTCGGGCCTCCTTGGAGCGCTATGAAGCCGGAGAGCCGAAAACAGAGAAGAACTGAAAGAACTGAAAGAAATCAATGAGATTGGACTCTTGGGGGTCTCTTTAGGGGAACGAAGAACGACATAAACATAAAAACTCAGAGGTCCGCGCGGATTTCTCGGATCGGCGCTGGACCCCCCTCCCTCGCGCACGGAGCGCGCCAGGGGCTGCGTCGGAGGCGCCGCCAGGGGGGTCCAGCGCCGATCCGAGAAATCCCCGCGGACCTCCGAGTTTTTATGTTTATGTCATTCTTCGTTCCCCTACTCTTGGGAGACCTCTTGGAGGACAAGTGGGCGTGACTCTCGAGCAAGAGGACAGCAAAGAAGAGGATGTCCATAGAGCGCGTGACGCTGATTCCCGTGTTGTCCGCTTGGGGCTGTGGCGCTTTGTCGAGGCGTCACCAGCCATCGTGGGGCTCTCTCGAGGGGTATTGGGGCCGTCTTGGAGGCTTCTGGGGGTTCCTGGAAGCCTCTTCGAAGCTTTTCGGGGCCTCTTGGAGGCCTCTTGGGGGCCTCCTGGGGGCCTCTTGGGGCCTCCTCGGGGTCCCTTCGTGCGGGGAGCCCGACATGTCGTTCCCTGCCTCATCTCTGGGCTCTCTTGGAGCGTTCCCGTGGCCTTATGAGGCCGTCTTGGAGGGCTGTCTTGAGGGCGTCTTGGACCGTCCTGGCGCTGCCTTGGGGCCTCTTAGGCAGTCTTGGGGGGATCTTTGGGGTGTCTTGGGTCGTCCTCGAGCGTCGGGAAGCCGAACAGGCGAGAGCGCGAAAAACCTTCAAACACCTAAAGAAAATCAGTGAATGTTGACTCTTGGGGCTCTCCAGGGGAGCCTCTTGGAGGCCTCCCAGGCCGTCTTCGGGACTCGCTGGGCCGTCTAGACCGCTCAGTCGGCGACGCGTGGCCCTCTTGGACCATCTTGCGGATCGTCTTGGGGCCGCCCGTGCCGCCCGACAGCGCGTCCGCCAAACTGGGGCGGGCCGTCTTCCGCCGTCCTGCGCCGGACTTCTGTCGGACTTCGTCGCGTGGCCGGGGCCATGTCCCGGGGGGTCCACCCCAGGACCCCCCCCCAGGGGACCACTAAACGGGAGCCCTCTGCAGGGTCAGGGAAAAAGAGAGCGTCCAACCCTCTAGTGTGTTGGGTCCTCGTTTTGAGTACGCAGCGCCGCGCAGCTCTTCCTTCTCCTCCTTGCCCTCCTCCTCCTGCTCCTCCTCCTCCTCCTGCTCCTCCTCCTCCTCCTCCTCCTCATTCCTCCTCCTCCTCTTGTTTCTTCTCCTCCTCCTCCTCCTCCTCCTCCTTTTGGTCCTGCCCTAGCCCATTTCGGCACACCCCTCACACGCTTCCTGCCCCCCCAGGGGGCTCCACCCATGCCCCAATAAGGGGCGTCCGCATGGCGCCCCCCGCGCCCACTTCGGCACACCCGCACACGCTTCCTGCCCCCCCCCCAAGGGAGCTCCAACCATGGTCCCAATTGGTGCGTCTGCTGATGCGGTATGGGGGCTATGTATTGGGTGATCTGAGGCGGGGGAGGACGGCTCTGGGGGTATCTGGGCGTCGGGATGATTGTGAGGAGATCTGCGGGCTTCGGGAGGGGTATGGAAGCCAAGAGGGACATGGCTGTCCAGTAGCAGGTGCTATCGAACACTCGAGGATGAGGGGCAGGATGAAGATCAGGAGGAAGCGTGGGGAAGGAGGAGGTACCCCTAGGGAGGAGGCGGGATAGGAGGAGGAGGAAGGGGAGAACGAGAGAGGAACAATATGAGGCGGAGGAGGGTGGAGGGGAAAAAGGAGGGATCAAGGAGGATGGCTGACGACGGGGAGGAGGGGGAAGGGGGAGAGAGGGAGGAGGGATTAGGATGATGGGGGAAGAGGAAGGAGGAGGGCAGAGAAGGGGAGCGCTCCGCTCAGCGGCCGGCGACCTCGACTTCTCCATCGCGGTGGTACCGCGGCCGTGGCGCCACAGCTCGATAACCTGCGCGTCAACGGAGACGGTGACGACCTCGACGAGCGACCAGAGGCGAATGGCGACCTCGACCACGACAAAGACGACGACCTCGGCGAGTAATAATCAGGACGGTATGAACAATCGCAACAAGAAACATCAGACTACGAATTGAACAACAATAACAAGCTAACGAATCCGAATGATAATACAACAAGGAAAAATACGGATGGTACAGGTTCCAGCGCTGCTCGCCCTTCTTGGGCCCTGGGGCCTGCTTGCGGGCCCTCGCAGTCACGCGCTCCGATGTGCGCCGAAAGTTCTGGCTGGGGCGACTGGCGCGCTCCAGCACAGGTCTGGACAACGACGAGGCCGAAGAGCTGACAGCGACGACGACGACAACGGCGTCAATAACGACTGGCGATGGACGGCGAAGCCCTGAGGCCGAGTAACGAACGACGAGTGGCGTCGACAAACGACGGCGAACAACGAACAACGTGGATTCAGGGATCAAGAGATCGGCAATCCGAGAGAAACCTTGGCCGCCCTCTGCGGGAAGCTTGAGCCCAGATGCGTGGCTATTCTTGATCGGGCTGAGTAAACTCGTGGAACATTGCTCGGGCGGGCCAACCTTCCCACCGAGCAGCTGGAGAGCACACGTACGGGTGGACCCATACATGCAGCGTCTGGAGGCCGCGCGCCGAACACGCATGCGGACTTCCGACACGCCCAGCCATAGGGACATGCCGCCAATTGGTTGTCCACCTCGCACCCAGGCCGGCCACGCCAGGTGCACCAGCTTCCCGGCGCAATATGATTTATAATACATATATATATATATATATATATCATATATATATACAGTGTATACAGACTTGTATACGTGTACACGTCGGTCGACAGAAGTAGAAAGAAACATGAAGTGGGAAGGCGCATCACATAGATTCGGAACAGGCCCTCCCAGAAAATGACAAACCACAGCAAGAGCAAGTCCACTCTTGAAGTAGGAAGGCGCTTGAAGTAGATTGGGATGTGGGAATCCAGAAACGCCTGCTTTCAACGACCAGCGTGTGCACAGATCTGTCGGGATGCCTTGCTTCGCGTGTCGCGGCGGCCGGCGGCCCCAGCGACACGCCACGCCCTGCCCGAAGGGCAGCGTGCCGCTCCGCCCCGCCTGGCGGGAGGCCGGTGGAGGAGCTCGGGACGCGGCCGCCTGGGGGCTCGGGCGTTCTCTTCTCTTCCGCAGCGTGCCACGCCGAGGCGCGGTGGGCCAGAAGCGGTGGGAGCGGCGCGCGAAGCAGACGTTCCCGACCGCAGAGGCACCGAGTCAGGGCAGCCGCGCCGAGCGTCTCGACCAGCAGCCAACAAAACAACCCCGCAGCGTCGCGTCTGCCTCCGCCGCGGCTGGCCCGCCCGCAGGGAGCGGAGGGGCAGGTCGCGGGCTGCCCGGTGCTTGTGAGTGCAACCTGAACGTGTATCTTCCTCCTCCTCCTCCTCCTTCTCCTCGACCCTCCTCCTCGACCCTCCTCCTCCTCCTCCTCCTCCTCTCCCTCCTCCTGCTTTTCCTCCTCCTCTTAGCGTGAAGGAGGCGGGTCCTGGAGGATGGTGTTCCCCATTTTCGGACCCATCGGGGCCCTCCATGGGCCCCGTGGCCACCACAAACGGCTCGGGATGAAGGGGTGGGTCCCCGAGGAGAGCCCCACGTGGTCAAGGACCCCGTTTCTCTCGGGACCCCATGCTGCCCATGGCGATCTGCCTCCTCCTGCCGAGACGGGGCGCTGGAGACTGCCAGCAGAACGACAGCCGCATTCCCTCCTGCTCTGGTATCGGGTCGGAGATGGCCCTCTTCTCATTCTGGCACAAGCCAATTTCTAAGCTCGCCCCCCTGGGCGCAGTCAAGCAAACAATGAAGCCTGGATCGCTGCGCGCGGGAGCGCGGCCTTGACCGTGAAGACTCCTCCCTCCTCCGCCTCATCATCCGTAGTTGCCGATGTTCGCCAGCGTGGACCCCAGACAGCAGGATGTTACACTCTCGATGTGCTCTCTATGTGGTGCAGGTTATGTGGTGCAAGCCGCCGAATGCAACCTGACTAATGTTTAAGAACTTGAACTTTTCAACTCCACTGCTCGAACAATCATCCCACCCTCCCGCCCGCAATTGTTTGGCAAAGCCCATTCGGCCACGATTGCGGTTCTCTGCGGCCGAGCTGGCGCGTGCAAGCTCGCGCGCAGAGTGGCCAGCTGATTTGTCACAACTGCTGTGGTCGCGATGGGGCTTGCCGATGGGCTTCCCAGCGCGTGCCAGAAGCCGCGCTGGCGCTCAAGCGCTTCAGTGCGGGTCGGTGGCCCGGGCGGGCACGAAATCATGATCACGCCGACAACGGTGGCAACGATGATGATGATGTTAGCGATGGTGGTGGCGATGACGACGATGAAAACGGCAAGGCCAATGATGGCGCCAATGCTGATGACGACGATGACGATGATGATGTCCATGGGCTGGTATGAAAGTGATTGGCTGATGATGGCGGCAGTGGCGGCGATTGAAAATGGCGATGATCACGGTGATAGGATGTCGATAATGAGGGCGATGGTGAGAAAATGTATGCGTGCAACAATTCAAGGGTGATGCTGAACAACTCTATCTTGAAACGCTTCGAGAAACCATGGTTTTGGACTGGTTTCGACACGCACGCGTAACGGCGAGCACGTGTGGCCCACACTGGATTGTTTGATGCGGTTTCGTGCGCTATGCGCATGCTGGGTCCACGCGAATGACGGATGTAGGCGAGATTGCTAGAATCAGAATGGCTCTCGTACGATTCCAAAAACATAAGCAGACAATCTGCATCATTCGTGTGACGGGGGTGGGGGGGGGGCACTCATGTTGGGTCCTGGAGGATGGTGTTCCCCATTTTCGGACCCATCGGGGCCCTCCATGGGCCCCGTGGCCACCACAAACGGCTCGGGATGAAGGGGTGTGTCCCCGAGGAGAGCCCCACGTGGTCAAGGACCCCGTTCCCCGCTTCTCTCGGGACCCCATGCTGCCCATGGCGATCTGCCTCCTCCTGCCGAGACGGGGCGCTGGAGACTGCCAGCAGAACGACAGCCGCATTCCCTCCTGCTCTGGTATCGGGTCGGAGATGGCCCTCTTCTAATTCTGGCACAAGCCAATTTCTAAGCTCGCCCCCCTGGGCCCAGTCAAGTAAACAATGAAGCCTGGATCGCTGCGCGCGGGAGCGCGGCCTTGACCGTGAAGACTCCTCCCTCCTCCGCCTCATCACCCGTAGATGCGAATGTTCGCCAGCGTGGACCCCAGACAGCAGGATGTTGCACTCTCGATGTGCTCTCTATGTGGTGCAGGTTATGTGGTGCAAGTCGCCGAATGCAACCTGACTAATGTTTAAGAACTTGAAATGTTCAACTCCACTGCTCGAACAATCATCCCACCCTCCCGCCCGCAATTGTTTGGCAAAGCCAATTCGGCCACGATTGCGGTTCTCTGCGGCTGAGCTGGCGCGTGCAAGCTCGCGCGCAGAGTGGCCAACTGATTTGTCACAACTGCTGTGGTCGCGATGGGGCTTGCCGATGGGGGCCTTCCCAGCGCGTTTCAGAAGCCGCGCTGGCGCTCAAGCGCTTCAGTGCGGGTCGGTGGCCCGGGCGGGCACGAAATCATGATCACGCCGACAACGGTGGCAACGATGATGATGTTAGCGATGGTGGTGGCGATGACGACAATGAAAATGGCAAGGCCAATGATGGCGCCAATGCTGGTGACGACGATGACGATGATGATGTCTATGGGCTGGTGATGAAAGTGATTGGCTGATGATGGCGGCAGTGGCGGCGATTGAAAATGGCGATGATCACGGTGATACCATGTCGATAATGAGGGCGATGGTGAGAAAGTGCGCGCGTGCAGCAATTCAAGGGTGATGCTTAACAACTCTATCTTGAAACGCTTTGATAAACAATGGTTTTGGACTGGTTTCGACACGCACGCGTGGCGGCGAGCACGTGTGGCCCACACTGCATTGCTTGATGCGGTTTCGTGCGCTATGCGCATGCTGGGTCCACGCGAATGACGGATGTAGGTGAGATTGCTAGAATCAGAATGGCTCCCGTACGATTTCAAAACAATAGGGCAGATAATCTGCATTATTCGTGTGACGGTGGTGGGGGGGGCACTCATGTTTGTTATACGTTTCAATGTTGGAATGGTTGCAGGACGTTCGGTCTGATTTGACCTGTGCGCGCGCGTGCGGACTTTGTGCTACTTGTTGGCACCGCGCTCCGGAGACATGACGTTTGGAAAACAGAAGTGCGCGCGAATGGTCGTAATGGACAGGGATGGGAGAGTGGTGGATACCAGCCTGGCTGGTAAGGTATGACATCACATGGGATATAAACACAGAGGCAAACTCGTATGTAATTTGCAATGCCCCAGGACGAGAAATTGAACTCGGGGTACGGGGGGGGGGGCCATCTATCTTTGTTGCCGGAAAAAAGAACCCACCCACCGCGCAACATCCGCGCGTGACCACCTCGCCCACCCACCCGCAACCTGCTGGTGAAACCCATGTGGCCATGATCCCCACAACCGCACGGGCGCGTGGAACACACCCGCGCAGGCAACTCCGTCCTCCAAGCCGGGAGGTGCTGGTGACGATGGTGACTGGCTCGACGCCACCGACGATGTCAGTGACAGAGGGGGTGACGCTGACGCCGGTGGCCATGAGAATGGGGATGGGGGCGACATGATATCGACGACGCCAGTGGTGATAGTGACACATACGGTGGTGATGAGAACGACGGTGGCATGATGATGCTTGCGGCGATGACGACAGTGCATGTAATGTATATGAGGGCGTTCCCGCGCGCAGTAATTTGACGAGGGCGACAATTCCAACAATGATAGGGGTGACGATAATCCTGGCGATGATGATGCTGATAATGATGATCGCGGTAATGACGGTGTCAATGTTGACGCTGGCAATGGTGATAGTGATTGCCCTGGTGAGGATGATGAG